TACTTGAAGTGTGATGGTATATATTTTGTGAATGTTTTTACTCCTAAGTTATAATTTAAGTTATGTTTATGCAGTCTTATTTGTTCTTTACTTAATCGCTTGCTAGACGAGGCAAAGCAACCAGTTCTTATCGAGATATGCATATCTTAAAACTCCTTGTTTCAACTGAGTTTACCTTCAAGAAATGGAGGATTTTTTCATGATATTTTTCTGAAAATATGAAGCAAATATTAAGATCATAGCTGTATTGAAATCAAATGCAGTGCAGAATTAGTTAATGAGCTCTTTGATACATGTCGTACAATAAAAAATACCTGTATTAAACAGCTAGCCTGGATAATTTGACAGATTATGGACAATTTTGATGATGGTGTGTAAAGGTTTGCTTTTTGCTAAAAGTTTTATAAATACCATCTGGTGTTTCTGTAAATGAACTGTTTGTTGTAGTAAACAGGTTAGTACATATAAAATAAGATAACTACTTTGTTCAATAATGCGCCAAATTATGCTCCTACCTTGAAATATTTGCTCAAGATAAGCTTATTATGATGACATGAAACATTAAATATAGTACTGCATCATCGGACAAAATCCATACATTTTTCAATTCCAGGTGATTAAAAATTCACATAAGATGCATTGGTTTCAATGAAGTTGAATGTGGAAGAAGCAAAAATTTATGGCATAGAACTTTTTATGTCTTTTGAAGAATTACGATATCATTTAAAAGAATAAGAGTAGCAATGTAGTAGAAGAAGTGACATCTGTCTTCAACATGAGATATTTCCAATTATGTGTAGTTACTTTGTACAAAATACTATTTTAGATAAACTTGATTTTTAAGTCATTCACTGATATTTTTACCAAAAGACAAAAAGAAAAATTCAAAGGCATAATGTAAAATTCAAAAGTTTGTCAAGTTGTTTGAACCTAGAAAAAATTAGTATAGGTAACTGTAATTTGTAAGGACACAAGAGAAAAGTAGTGCAAGAAGGTTAGCATTTTTGAGAATTAATAAGTTCTTGACATACATTACACAAGGCCATAATATTATAAATAATGTCTGTACAATAACAATTATACAACATGCTAAATATCTTCACCTACATTATAATTGTTTAAACAGGTTTGCCTTCATGCAGCAATAAGAAAAGTGTTATGTCAGAGAAACCAATGCACTTTAATTTAAGAAATAGTATTTTCAATGGGAAATTAATGTAGTTCAGTAGTAGATCCATGGTTGTCAATGACAATCCAGTTTCTAATATCTTGGCTCAAAACAGAACCAGCAACATGATTATAGAATTTCTGAATTTCGTTCTTTTGCTCTCCTAGTTCAAGATATTTTCTTCATAAGTTCTCAGTAGATTTATCAGAATATCATAACACCTTATAAGACACCCAGAATCAATCCTACCAAAAAAAACTAAAAAAAATTACATACCTACTTATAATATATTTCCAGTCGACTTAAGTCGTAGGGGTAAGCTAACTTTAACTCCTTTTTGGACATTTTAACTAAGATTTACCCATCTATTCAAGAAATACAGTTACACCAAGCTGTTATCAAACAGTCAAAAATACAAGTATTGTGCATGTGATTATGCATTAAAGCTTAACGACACATTGACAGTGTAAAGAATGACGTTTGATATTTATTTCTAACATAGCTAAAGCATTACTTGACAAAATATACGTTAGTTTACAGTAGATTTACCTCATTTTAAATGATTGTGTCTATTTCACAAAAACCTGTATCATTATTTTCAATGTTTTATGCTTTACGGTATCGTGGTTGTTTTCGCTGGTTGTCATTGATATAAGCAGTTATAGAGTTCCGGATTCGGGAGGGAGCGAATGTTAAAAATTTTTCTCAAAGTGGAAGTTTTGACAACCAAAATCCGCCATTACCGCCATGTTTTTGACCACGGGGTCCAGGCCCGTTTGCCCCTCCAGGTCTTACAGAGCTCAATGATGTAAATAGCTTTCTAACTTGACTATACTTCATTTAATGTACATTTTAGTGTCTTGTGTATCGTAAAATGTAAGTAGTTCACTATTCTATTGTAATTTTCATTTTTGCACACGCCCCATGTGGAAATCAACTTGTATGTTGACAATGGTAAGCGTGTTAAAATAAAATTATCTATCTATCTATCATATTGAGTTTCATTTTCGTCGAGTTGTTCAGAATTAACTTGCAGAAACGTAATAAAGGATTCTCTAGTCATTCCACCGACCAACGTACTAAACCATAAACCAAAAACATCCGACACTGATATGCAATTGTGATGTTTTGGACATTTTGTCCACAGACTTGTCGATACGCACGTTCACCGACATGAGATCTGGTCTCAAATCGACGTCTACAGACATCCACGTTTGTCCACGGCACTCATTTGCACTTAATGTTCTTTTTTCTTTCGTTATACGCTTATTGTTTTGCTCATACTGCTTCATTGACTATCTGTGTATTATCAAGTGCAACCTTGTGCTAACAAAATTTGAACTAAAGTAAATGGTTTGAACCCGGGAGTATCGTTACATGTTTGTAAATGTAGATCGTCCAGGTTGGTATAGTCCAGCTCAGCACGGTGAAAATCCTGTGTGTCTGCTTTTGTGTGACTTATCACTTTCTCAAGGACATAAAGTAAAAATGTTTATAAAATGCACGAGCAGATTATGTATTTCAGCGTACATTCTTTACAGTTTCTGAATTGTGTGTATATCGCCGTAAATTATAGATGCCACTTTGAGTCATGAATTTACATAAAGGTCACGCGTAAACAAAGTTGCAATTATTTTGACATGAAGCGTTTTGATGGCAAAGAAAAAAAGTTGAAATATTTTGCATAAATTTAAGCCATTATTTCGTGAATACATTTTGAAAATGTCTTTCCGAAACGTTGTTCACTGCGTTATCACGACGTCCAAGGGATTCTACAAGACGTTGTTTCAAATTGTTTCCCCGACGTTACTGCACCGTTTGCACAACGTTCTCAGTACGTCTTAGGGACCGAGTTGTCCCGGCTAGCCGAGGTGAGATAATTTTACCAATATCGCGGCCTCTTTAATAATTACTAATAAAAATAGCATTGTGATTACATGGCAACCGAGTCAACTCGCTTTGGCGGGATATCGGCTATTGACAGCCGGACAACTCGGTTATCCGGGATGAAAATTGTGTTGCTCGCTCATGTAATCACTTTTTCCCAAGTTGTCCCGGGTAAGCTATTGTGTGAAGCATGCGCACTTAGTTTAGATTTGCAAAATGGTGGAAAGCTCTATAAACCATAATGCAAAGAAAAGTAAAAATCTAGAAGATCTGCCACAATCGACATATATAATCGCTTTCAATGGACGTTAGAAATGATAAAGGATTTACTGGAAGGGTTGCTCGAGTACAAATCTCAAATGGAGTATAGAAACTCAGACTTCAATGCGGACAAAGTTAAACAATATGAAGCAGTTAGAATTATTTTGGCCAACAAGTATCGTTCATTGTTTGGACCAACAGAAATTCCGGCATATACTGAAGAAGAAGTAAGGAGGATTATACAAGGTCATGTAAAAAATTCAAAGCCCAAATTCGACGAGGATATACTCGAGTTGAAGAAAAAATAACACATCAGAAATTCAGTAATACTGTTACATCAGGTAAAAGATCAGGCTCGGGAAAAATGGTTATGGAGTTTTATGATGTTATGGTCAAAATATGGGGAGGATCACCTGCAACAGAACCGTTGCAATTTGTTGAACAATCAGCAGAAAAAGAAGATGAGGAAAGCTGGGAAATTAATGATTTTAATACAACTTTGTAAACTTTATGAAATTTAAAAATCTCATTTTACATGTTTGTGAATTGACATTTTATCAAGCATCAAAACACACACAACCTTCTTGCCATCTTTCTTTGGTTCTTGAACTTTAACTTCAAAGCATTCAAGGCATCATTAGTGAATCCATTGTCTGCATCCATAGAATTTGACCATGATCAAATTAAATAACTCTGGATAGGACTCTGCCTCGTCAATAACATCTTCCCGTCATCTTTGCTGCTTGATCTCCCCTGCATGTTGTCAGCAAATAGAACATTACAAGCTTTGCTCCAAATCATGGGTACTGTTTTGGCTGATCGTTTCTTTTTGATATTTACCAACTGAGTAAAATGTGCAGGGTCTTTGCGTCAGGGAAGCTATTTCGCAAATAGATTGGTAAATTTACGATTTCATACATTAACAAATAACAGAAAACTACGCTGAGTTTATAAACAAAAACAAGAAAACATCAGTATATTTTGCGTTAAAGTCAGTCCTAAATAAATACGATCTTTAATGAGTATTTTATGGATTTTCAAGTTCATGTATAATTGCTTTTCAATCGTTGATGAACTAACATAACAAGCAAATATCTTACCTGTGAGAAGCGAGATGTTTTTTTTGTGGAAACTACGACATCCGACTATTAAAACATTGAAGTGTTGGCATTAAAAAAGAAATGCCGAAAAGATATCGGGTTTGTTTTTGAAAAATTCTATACAATTGACTATAGATACCAGGAGGAGGTCGAGAATATTTTTTTCTGCAAAGCGAGCATTTCAGCGGAAATAGGTCCTTTGGCCGCCATGTTTTTTACAAAAGTTCCCAGTCCAGCCGCTCCTGTTACTATAGAACTCAATGCTCGGTCCATGTAATCGGCCCCTTAATGCTGGCAACGCTATAGCTGTATTTCAATTATAGAACGAAAAATCGTCGGTCAACGCAAAGCACTTATTCGTTCTAGTAGAAGTGCATTTTATGAACTTCAGCAGAGTGCCATAAAAAATTAAACAAATAAAGAACTCTAATATACTATGTTTACTCCAATCATTGCGCTATGCAGCTTAATATAACTATATCGAGAATACTTCTCAACACCATATTTCTTGGCACAAATATAATTCAAAACAAATAAAGCGGAGAAATACGAATCCTATAGCTACATGACGAATTCAGTCCTACCTTCGATTATTAATTCACTCCATATCCTACTATTATTATCATCTTTATCTCTCAAGCTATTTAAATCGTCGTTTCCATCCATAACAAAAGTCTACGTGTCTATCTGGAATCATATATTTTCAAGTGTTTCGTTTAGTGAGTAAATCAATTGCAGAACTTGTGATTGTTTTGAAAACAATTGCTGAGCACATCTAACTTTTACCAAGGCAATCCAGATGAAGGGACTGTGATAAGAATCGATGATATTTGATTCCAAGTCATAGAAGTTAGAACGTAGGTACAAAAGCAAAGTCAGACTATCGAAATCGCTTCATTATGACACACACTGACATATAAATTATAAAAAATCTATTAATTATTAGCATAAATATGCATATTCAATAGTATATTACAACGTGTTGCTCAGTCAACCATAGTATAATGACATTTTATTTCGTTCTAGTGACGTTATGACGGAATCACACTAGATAGCAGTATACCAGCCTTACTCCTGATGGTACACTTTTGCCTGGCATTAAAAAATAAACATTCCATAACACGGTGCAATACAGCAATAAAATTTTGGAGTATGTATTCGAACGAACGGAAAATCATTAATATTAGTGAACTTCAAATAAATTAAAATTAAAGACTTAAGATAAAAAATTGAAAACTGAAATTCAATAACATTTAAGAGAAATTCGGTAAGTATCACTATACATTCAATAGGAACAAAAGAAGTGCTTAATACTCTATTGTTTGTATTGAATGTTTAGTGATTCTTATTGAATTTCTTCAAATGTTAATGCATTTCACCTTTTATCGTCGTCTTCAATCGAACTTTCACAAATGTTAATGACTTTCCGTTCGTTCAAAAGAGTATTCCATAATTTAATTGTTGTATCGCACTGTGTTATTTAATGCTGGGTAAAAGGTGTAATACTAAGTGTCGTGAATATGTTAATTTTAGGTAAAAGAATGTATATATATATACTTGGGTAAAAGAGCTTACTAAACAAAGTCGTCATTTCTAAAACGGAAAAGTTATCAGTAATTTTGAGGCAAGAGATATACCTTCGCATGGTACACAATCAGAATGAAAACAAAAATTATATGCTTCATGGTACACCACGTAAAACTCCAATGAAGATATTAATATTTTTTGAAAATGATGTTGTATGCTACACTCACGACTTAATAAAATTGTAAGTAAATGCGAAAATCGAAGTGGCAAAGCATTTATTTTAAGAAATTCACATTCTGATTAGATCTTTAGCGTGGCAGCCACTGACATGTATAGTAATTACCTGGACGTACAACCTCGTCAAAATTATTATAGATTATTAAGCGCAGCAAGTTGTCAAAAACATGGATGCCACCATACCTTATATAGCAAATTTTGGTTGAAAATATCAACAGAAGACGACAGGCTCATGATTTCAAAAGTTTTCCGCCTTTTATCCAGCTTTTATTTACGACTATAAAAAATATCAAAACTATTATCCCAAACGCAAACTTGTTTTTAAAACTACATCAAAAAAATGCTGCAAACACTTATGTGGTACACAAATGCAAAAGAAATGCAAGGAAAGGGAGCATTATATGATATCGGTAATAAAAATAGTGTATTGTTGATCAACTAACGTCGAGCTTCAAAATGATAATTTCGTTATTTTGTTTTATTATTCTTGAAGTGGGATACCACATATTTTGTTGTTTTTTTCAATGGCTAGGTTATAATTTAGGTGATGTTTGTCCAGTCATTTTTACATTTTACTTCATTGCTTGTCAAACGCTGCAAAGATGCTAATTCTCTTTGACAATTGTCAACAATATTGAAAAACATTGTGGTATGTGTCATGCAATAAAAATGTTTTAGTTTAGCTCCTTGTTTGTTATGCTGAAATTAACATACTGCAAACAATAATGATGGTGAGGGAAAGGTTTCCTTGATGCTAGTACACTTGTAAATGCTGCACAGTGGTTCTGTAAATTCATAGATGCATTGTAATAATGAACTAGTTAATGATTACATCAAAACTAACATAAAAGTGCTGATTTGTGCAATATATTGAGTTAAGACTTCCTCCTTAGATCCAAACTTAAACTTTTTTCTAAATATAGGTTATGATTATGGCTATGAAAAGTGTAATCTAGATAGAATCTGACAACCATCCACACTTGTAATTATTTCAGGTGACCCAGGATTCACTGAATTAGTATAGTTCAGTGGCGTGCCGTCATGCAAGCGTAGGCAAGCGCCGCTTGCCTAAGCATTTTACCGAACAAAAATTTTTTGGATCAATCTCTGAGCAAAATCAGTTTAAAATTTTCGGTTCTAAACAATGTCACTGTAATCTTTTGTCTAAATTGTCTTTACAGTTGAAATGCTTGCTATTTATACGCGATTTACTGTCGTGGTTTTCGGTTTCACTTTGCTACACTTGTAAGATGAGTCAAGTGGATTAAATACACCTTAAAAATTTCTTATTTATTAACCAAGGCAAGCGCGCTTGCCTTCGGAGCTCAATTTGAACATTTGCGCATGCGTTAATCTAGATTTGGAGGCTTCTTATTCGACGAATATCGAGAAAAGGCAAGCGGCGCTTCTAAGGGCGCCGCTTGATAGCGATTGGTGAACAGTCTTGTACGCTCGCAATTTTAAACACATATCAGCGCACGAATAATATTCGTATATTCAACACATTGGACATCCGAATTATTCACGCCGTTAATGTTATCGTTTATTAAAAGATGACTGAGAGCGAAAGGTAATGTTCTGATTTCTAATTCAAAGTAGTAGGTGCTTTACTGGTTATTTTATTATTTTCTGCGCACAATGTGCGTAAACAAGCAGGGGCCGCAGTCTGCAGAGATATCGAAATGCACGCAAACGTGTGTTGTGGTAAAGTATGACTAGCATTATGACCAAAACACTATGCTCTTGTCAGTCTTGTGTCGTTAAATTCGTAAATTAATGACTAAAAATAAAAGGTACAAGATACTAAATAATAAACACGACTCTCCGATATTCTGAAACGTACGAGTCAGTGCCAGACACATTTTGAAGAACGGGAGAACACGTTGCCATGACGTCATTATAAACATTAAACAACGCCATGGCCTCAGTTTGTAACACACCGTGCCAATATTGTGCGCGAAACTGGCTGTTCTTAATTGTTATAATCACGACTGCTACAATACATTTCGCGCCTATTGTCTTGCAATTTATGTATGTAGAAGATATTATCTGTAGCATGTATTACAAGATTATGATATTGACAAGAGCTTCCTTTTGCGTAGTATTGATATTTGTATCCGGTAGATTTTAGCGTTATATATAAGTCTTTCGTATGAGCTCCGAACGTGAGTTCAATGTACTAGAACGCTATTAAATTTTGTGATTATTTTATTCACTAGCAAAGAAGTTATTTACAACAGTCGTGAGTGTTCTATGTGTTAGAATTTATTTACAGGCTTTTTATATATTTGGTTAAAGAAGGTGCAGTTATTACACAGCGGATAATGTACTTGAAATTTGAGTTGTTTTACGTAATTATAAAGTATAATATCATTCAGAGTAAGCAGTTCGATATTGTCTTCTGTGTCACGAAAGTTCGCGAGACGAAAGATAAGATTCAAGAACAACGAACAAAATTCGTAGATTATTGGAATTTTACGTCAAGTATCGTCAAAGTAGCACTGAAACGCGGGCAAAGTGAAGAGGATGTAAAGGCGTCCTTCCGTCAAATGTTTTTCTGTGTAGTCGATACCATTGTCGTGCAGATTGACTCTAGATTCGAAAGTCTTAACAGCAGAGCATTCGTTTCTTTGTTGGATCATTCAAAGCACGAATTGTACAGCCGGAATTTTCCCGAACGAGAGCTGCAATCGTTGCAAGATTCATATGGAACATTCTTTAATCTTCAAGCACTAAAAGTGAACTAATCGTTGTATACGCATCTGCCGAGCTCAAATCGAAACCTGTTCTTGATATGATATCAAAATAATCGAACTTGACTTGAAAGCCTGTTTTCCAGAGGTGTACCGATTGTGTCAGCTCATTCTTACTATGCCAAATACGTCCTCCTCTGCAGAAAGATCATTTTCGGCTCTCAAGCGTATCAAAGCGTATCTTCGCAGTACACAAGGGCAAGAGCGACTTTCTGCATTGGCTACAATTTCAATCGAGAGGGAGATGTTGGTAAGTTTGCAGGGGAAGCCACGATTCTATGAGGACGTTATAAAGGAGTTTTGCGCAAAGGAAAGACGGATGGAATTTACATTTAAGTAAATCTGTTGTAGGATTTTGGACTATTTCGTTCTGTTACTTCTTCACTACAATAGAAATACACGCGTAGCCATTTACTTAAAACGACTTTATATCACAATACCACATGTAATACTCTTAAACCGTAATTGTAATATATACTCTATAAAAGTTTTTGAATTTTTTAGATTTTTTCAATACTGTTTCAGTCATGAGAGATACATTTTTTTCGACAAAGTACTCCCAGAAATCGCGGGAAATGCGCTCCAGTAGCCTTCAAAATCCAAAAATTTTCTGGGGGAGCATGCCCCCAGACCCCCTAGATAGGTTGCTATGCCGCGAACCTCACCCCCAGCGCTTGCCTATTAAATTCGGTCACCGCACGCCACTGGTATAGTTACAATGAAGTTGAAGGCACAAGAAAGAGAAATGGATTGTAAGAACTTTCTAGTGTCTGATAAAGATGAACTGGAAATAAATAAATTGAATAACTCAAATAAATTTTAAAATTTCAAATCATAAAAAGTTTTCAATTGCAAAGTGGGTAGATGAACCTGTGCAGACATGTGGTCCTACAAAAATCTCTTTGTTGGTTTTTTTATTCTTTAAAAGAAGTTATTTTACCCAAGTTTGATTCTTATCACATTAAACAATGTCAAATTATTACATATAATGCACCTTAATATTTATAAACCTTGTAAGATATTGGAAACTACTAGTTCAACATTTTTGCTTGTATGCAAGCAATATACAATGTTATGTCTGAGAAATTAACAAACAATTGTTTATTTTGTTATAATTTTAATAAAAATCAATGTAGTTCTGTTCAGCAGTAGGTCTACAGTTGTGGTGAATAGTTTACAATCCTGTTGTTATATGCCATTTTAGCTCAAACTATTTACATCCAACAACAGCTTTACATGTTTATTAATAATAGCATAGCATTTTGAATATTGCATTGTTCTTTATTCTAGCTCACCAAGTTCAAGATATTTTTTAATATGCCCAAAGTAAAAACTTCCAGAATTTCATTTTAGTTTATATACTGATAAGACACCAGCCAGTATCACT